ATATATATATATATACATGTATAAAACTAATTTTCCACACCTGTACTGAAATAATTAAATTAAAGTCCAACTGCTTCTGTAATAATTAGTTTCTACAGAGAAGAAAACTGCAATTTAAATTCTCCATTAATTGAATTTATGATTAATATGATTAGGAGCAGCCTCATCTGTTTCTAGTTCGCAATATGCTAAAGTTGCAAACTACGCGATAATATATGTGTTAAAATCAAATTGCATCTTTTATCGAACGTGAGATTTTGTTTCGATGTATTGAAACGCGTATAGTTTTATACGCACAAAATTGTAACAAATTCTGATTAATTCTGACCAGAAAAAATTTATCGTTCTGCATTAATAACTGCAGTGTCTCCTAATGAGCAAATTCCTTTGATATGATTAATTTAGTTTGGTTAAAATTATAATAATAACTGATAACAGATAAAAATATTATCATGGTGATATTATCAAGATAATTTGAGCTGTTAAAAATATTAATATAATACATTATCTGTTTAACTGCTCACACACACAGAGCGTTTTATTTCGTTACTGCATAATGTACACAGATATAGAAAATTTAATAGAGATAGAAGAAGATTACTTGCCTTTCAGCTCTAGAATTTATTATGTGATACGATATGTGTAATTTCTTTGTTGAGATTTTGATAGAAATTTCATCTGGCGGATAAATCTTGTCAGCGTGTTTGTGACATCTTGTTTCCGTCGGCAAATAACGTGACTGTGATTACGTGCTAGACGACTGAGATATTCGACGAGTATTACGTGTGTTCGGCAATCAGTTAAACATCAGAGACCAAAATTATTTTGATTAGGGCTAAAATTTTCGCATTTTTGGATTCTTTTCTGAAAGCCTGAAATGTGAAATGTATCATAATCTGTTTTTGAAATAATTTTATGTTTATTTAAAATGTTATTTAGAAAAATATATTATTTTGAGAACGAAATTAGCCTGGAAAAATTAGTCTGCTTTAGTTTCGTACTTCTCTAATTTTACGTTTAATTGTTAAAGCGTGTTTTAATAAAAAATAAAAGGACGAAACAAAATATTAGGGCATATATAATTGTAAAATACAAAAAAGATCAATCTTATATATTAAATGATCTCGTAGACAATTAAATTTTAAAAATTAGGTCGAGCAGATCACAGCGGAGTATAAGGTGTTAGCTCTTCAGTATCATCCGGATAAGAACGACGGTGACAAGGAGGCCGAGAAGAAGTTTCAACAGTTGAAGGTTTGTTTTTCACGTAGAAAAAAGCTGATTGATTTCATTAATTAGTGATCTAGCTAAACCGCACTCGCTTCAAGTGTCAAGCAGAGCTCTGATGAATTTGTTTATCTCATAGTACGCGAAAGAGGTTCTATGCGACCCTGAAAAAAGGAGCAATTACGACAAATGGCGGAATAGCGGTATCAAGATCAGTTACAAGCAGTGGCTCGGTATGAAGGAGCATGTGCAGCAGGTAAAATGCGACAATTTACAATGCAACGATTGTCCATTACAATAGTTAGTGTTAATAATTTGTTCTTGTATTGCGTGCGGGAATAAATCAATTTTTTTGTGTGGTTATTGTATTGTATTTGACAAAACAGATTTGTAAAATGTGTCCACGATTCTCTTTCGATTTATAAATTTGTGATTTTTAGCAATGTCAATGTTGGAAATGTAAAAAATGTAAAACATTTATAAATATAATTTTATGGCTCTGTATTAATTAAAAATTCTCAAAAAAAGAATTGTTTTACATTTTGCAGTATGTTTTATCGAACAGATAAACAGAAGTATGCAAATCTCTCATAAATATAAAAAAAATTGTATTTGAATTATATTTTAATGTTATTTACTCGATATGCGCGGAATGTTTCTTTGTTTAATTTTCTAAGTGCATTTGTGATTCTTTGACCAATTTTGAGATAATTCTTTTTTTTAATTAATGAAAACACAGGGACATGTTGAAATTACGATAAAAAGTTAAGTGCCTCTTAATTTCTTATTTCGTATCATTTTTATGAAACTAACTTTGCGGGTCTTTCGCTGTTCGCAGACTATGCACTGGAGCACGCCGAAGACAAAGGACAGAATGTTGCCGGATACGACTGGAGAGGCGGGCGGTTCACCGGCTCACCTGAGAGGTCACCCTACAAACGCACATAGAAGAGCTTCGGAGGGTGGCGCCATGAATCTTTACTACCGTTCGGGTCATGGCGTACCATTCGACTATCAGGAGACCAATGAGGTCGTCAGTAAGTTTCGCAATTATGAGATTTAAAAGATCCCCTGGGTAAAACTCTCATTGGAACCGACTCCATTGTACCAGATGTCCTTATGAAAGCAGGAAAAATGTTGTACTAGACAAATATCTACCTGTATACAAGTGTACGGGGCGTTGGTCAGATCGCGTCAGCACACACACACACACACACACACGCATATCAATGTGCTTAAAAACGATGAGTGAGAGACGCGAGCGTGAGTTTCATCGTCCGCCATTATTAATGACGTTCTTTTTTGCTCTCTTCACACGCAACTTTGCAGTCGCGAAATTTTTATTGCTATTGCATCAGCGCTGTTCTGTATTATGTATACTCGCGAATCTAAGCGGTCTGACAGCTTCGGAAAATAGTTGAATGATCACAAATTATTCTTCTCTGCGCGTGAAAATGATTCCGCGGAGTACACGTTTGCGTTCTAAATGCAACAATCTATTCTACATCTTAGATTCTATAGATTCTTAGATTCGCAGCGTGTTTCTTCGTTCTTCACAACCCATGCCAATTTGATCCAACGAACGACCCCGTACACGCGTACGTGCTCGCGATCGCGCGCACGTATTGTGTCGCCTTCAGATTTATATTTTGTTATACTATACTAAGCACGAGACGAGAAAAGAAAGGATCGAGGGGTAACGCTGGGAGTGGAGTTTGATGCTATTTAAGCTCTCTTTCTAAATTCTCTTGAGTAACGTCCGACTCTGATTGGTCGCGAAATATTATATACAAATCGAATCTCGATCGCGCATTCTATGCATGTTTCTTGAATCCTACGAGATGTTTAGCGACATTTAAAACGGTGTAGTGTCGGAGAGTTCTTATAGTTATCTGTGATTCCGCGAATAAATTTTCCACTATAGAGATTAACTGGTCGTTTCAACCGTAAACACTTTGGAACGAAATATTTAAGCGTTGCGGAAATCTTCGTATCTCTCTATTTTAAGTACAATTATTACGTACAAGAACGGAATTTTCGTTATGAATACAAATTTGTATTTCAAATATCAATCGTGTATTCTTATCGACCGTTGTTTTCAATGCGAGTTTGCAGTGTTTGATATACGGGTACTGATTCTGGTTAGAAATATTGAATTAAAATATCGTGTATCTATGCAATACGTCAATGGCGGAATTAGAAAATAATTAAATCGGAATCCCGAATGGACGTTGCAAGCGCCGAGTTTATCAGGTACAATGTTTTAATGGAAAAACGTAAGTAATGTAACCGTAAAGTCGATACTCTCTATCAAAATATAAAATAACGCTAAAAGTGGTAGTCACTATTGTCAATTCCCGTAAAGCTGTCCCCAATATTTTTAATTGACGTTTCCAACGTTTTGTTCCGGGAACTCATTCGTTCAATCGTCATCGTTACGACAATCTTAATTTCGCAAAACGCTGGAGCGCTTAAATATTTCTTTCTAATAATGAAACAGATCGATGATGGCGCACTTGTACCTGTGTCCGATGTCAAACGCAAAATACATCGTTCTTTCTCGACGATAATTGCGAAGGCTTCCTTCACTCCGTGAATTATAATCGATTGTGAGACAATTCGTCGGTTAATTGCGTTTGGCATATAATTGAAAATGCCTACTTATAACCGGTAATTAATAATAACTTAGCAACAGTTAACCTTGTGGATGTGTCGATGTGTATAATCTTACAATAATATAATTAACGGTAAGCGCGTCGAGCTCATTCCTTATTGAAATATATTTAATGAGGTCGATGTTTTTCAGTTTCGGTTTACGCATTTCTCCAAATTGAATGCTCATTACTAAATATACGTACATCGTGATTTAAAATTGTGTTTGATTTTTTTGAATATTTGACGTATGTGAAGAAAACAAAATTAGTTTTAATTACTTTTAAGAGTATTATTAAACATATCAGTTTTTTAAGAATCATAAAGTCATTTAGAATTATAATTAGTCTGTTTATGCGTCATTGTTTTGCCGGTTGCAATACTGTTAGATTAAAGAGAGTCCGAAATTGGACCGAAACGTTTCCTTACTTTGCATTTCTTTAATAAAAATATTTCTTTGAATGAAGAGATTTTATGCGCTCCGACATCCGCGCTTTGGTACTTCCGTTAATATTTTTTGTTATTAATTATTCGTCACTGTTTAAGATTTATAATTTTTTTAAACTTTTTGATACGCGATAAAAGAATTAAACATAAGGTTAAAAGAATATAAGATTTTTTAATCAAAATTATGATGCACGAATATCTAAGTACGATGGGTGTTTAGTAGCTAGAATTTCAGATTTAATAGGCGGAAACAGCTAAACAGAAACTGAGAGACATTAATGACGTTGTCTGGATTAATGAATTTTCCCTTCCACAAAAAGGATGTGATCTTCTATATTCCTTGTCAAGGTCCAAAACATATCACGACAGGTCCATTCAGTCTTCCTGCTTTATTTCCAAATTCCGACGATGGAATTCTAGCCAAGATATGTCTTGTTTGCATGAAGTAAAAGAAAGCGGAGAAATAATTGAGGCTATTGGGTGAGAACCTGTTTTGCGATTAAAGGCGCGGTAAAGTGGGAACAATTAGCAAATGCCAATGGAGATAGGCAAAATTAACATTATTAGTAATTAGTTTACTGACATTTTTGTATTTTAATTTTAGACTAAATGTAATCTTAATTGTTTAACATATTTTCCGCAAATTCTGAGCGAGGCAATACAGTGATTCTTGAATGATTTAAAATTAAATCATTAAAAGTTCAACTTTCCCAAAGGTCTCAATTTCTCGTCCTTGTTTCTAAATGTTAGAAATTGCGTTAGTAACAGTAACCTGTTAAAGGATCCGTCACTGACTATACAATTAATTTCTGCACATAATGTCAAACATATAAAATCGATATGGGAGCAGAGCAACTAGCAAGTTATTGTTTGTTTACATAATAATAAAGCTGAACTGCTGTACGCGTGCGCGTATTTGAAACAAGTATGTTTAAGATTTTAAAAATAAAATAGAAGAACAGAGAAGTCGGAGGTAAATAATTAAAAATACTTAGAAATAACAGAGAAAATAAAGAATTATAGTTTTACGCGAGGCGATCTTTCAAAGTGTCGAGAGCTCGAGAGATCTCTCACTTTCTTTTGCTTATTTTTTCTTTACTTTTCTTAGATCCTTTGTTGAGAGAGTTAAGCGAAAATATCCTGCTGCTCGACTTGTCTCCCTACCGACTCTGTATAAGCTCGACATTAGTGCGCGGTCAATCGAATTAGTCGAACATGTAAGCGTTCGCTCGCGCTTCGTGGGATTCGCCGCGCGATCGATTCTTCTCGAGACTTGCGACAGGTAGACGGCTAAATTAAATGACATATCTTCGATAAGGGAATCTCTTCTAACAATTACGCTGCAAGGAGGCAAACGCTGTCGAATATACCTCTGGCATTTCAATTAACACTATCTATCTGGAACAGTGAGAGGATGTTACTAATTTTTTTCATTTCTAAATTTCTTCTTAACAACAAAACTGTGCGAAACAGCTTATTTTATACTTTTGATTTATTTTTACGCGCATTTATTTTTACGCGCACAATTATCTCCTTAATTGTGTCCAATAACTCCAATAACTCATTCTATTTATATATGAAATATATAAATTAAAATTAGTGAAGTTTATTAATATTTTGCAATGTGATTTTGTATGCCATTCTCAATCTTTTACATTTCGGATGCACAGCGGATGATATTTGTCAAGCGATTCTTTTACCAGGAAGCGGAACTAGATTTATTCGGATAAAGTATCATCCGAATAAGAATCGAACGAGCAAGTCACAAAAAGTTTTAATCCCGTTGCGAATACATCATGAAGTTTAGAATAGATGAAACGGCATCGGGCAACGGCGTTCACACAAAATTTCTTTGCACTGGTTTGCCGACTTCTTCAAGCTTCGAAGAAAGTAGCAACTAGGTCGATAAGTTGTTAAAGTTTGAACGAGGAATTTGGAGAAATTATATAGACTATCTATCTTGTCTCTGGTGCACTGCTAACAGTATCTTTGTGCACGCGTTAGAGGAAAATATAAGAAATATTACTGTTTATTACAAAAAAATACACATATATATATTAGCATAAATTTCGCACAAATATGCGCGCGAAAGAGAATAATGCCTAAGTCAAAAACTTGACTCGATCGTTATTACCTCATTTGAGTGAATAAGACTGTCGATTATGGATATCGGAATTGGATTAGATAGCGTCGATCGACACGGATATAAAGAAGGACATGTTAAACCTTGAAGTCTTTCAGTAATTCTATTATTTTATAAGAAAAATGTGACGATGAAAAACCGCGAGAGCTTTCGCATGCTCTTGGAGACATTCCAGTTTGCGACATAATTACGCAGACAAGATTCAGGTCGTGCGACCGAAAGCCCGCTGCTGTCGAAAGTTTACTGGACCATCCTGTATATGTGCTCTATATCTATATATTTTTCTAGATGAGCCCATGATTTTGGCCTGTGAAATGTTGTTTACATGCCTATATCTTACGTACCTATCTGTCGTTTATGATTGACCTATCGCAAATTCCTGAGAGAAAGATCGGAGCCTGTTCAAACGCCTATCAGTACGATGCTTACACGGAAAAAACATTTGTACAGAAATATCTAAAAATTGTGATAGATTGGATACAGATCTGATAATTTTTGTTCGACTATCAAAATTTATCAATAGAGGTCCACTCGATTAGATTGATAAAACATGAGATTATATCGCAAACAAATTCGAGTGCTCTATTGATAAATTTTAATTGTCCAACAAAAATTATTTTTAGATCTATATTTGGCACAATTTTTAGATATTTCGGCAAAAATGTTCTTTCCATATACGATCGCAGACCTCGATGTCTCTTTCGTGTTGTACACGCGCGTTTATGATACAATAATTGGATAAAATGGAATTTACGTGGAATTAAAAAAAAAAAATAAGGAGAAAATCTTATCTCTTGTTTTTAGATTTTTCGATCCAAGTTTCAAGCTAAGTCTAAATAAATAAAAAGTCAATTAAGCACATCTAGCAATTTGAAAGAAAATCATCAAAATACAAATACAAAATATCTAATTTTATATGACTTAATTTTAATTTAAATTCTAAATTTGAGTGTTGTTTGAGAAATTAATATTCTAAGTTGCAGAAATATTTTTGTGAAAAATATTGAAATTACCATTTCCGCCAAAGCAGTCAGCGCTTGTAAAATTGTCCTTGCTTTCACATTTGTAAATGGCGGACTATTAATGGTACTCATTAGCAGTCCTTTTTGAACTGGTTATGTAACGCTAATTATGTTACCTAACGTTTGTATCGATATCGTCTTTCACTTTAATATCTACGGTTAATGATCGTAGTCGCCGAATGCTTTGAACAATTAACTGCAAAGGCATACAATGTAAATTGTACCCGTGCATTATCAAAAATAGCAGATTTTTATCATCCGTGTTGATAAATTAATAATAGAAAATTGACTCAAAAATTTTGTGCATATTAAATATATATTATTTTATTTGCATATTAATGGATCAGCGATTTACACGATAAGTGTAATTCCTTACGACGTAGGATTAAAATACACTATGAAAAACTAAGATAAAGTTATATTAATTGAGATTGAACAATCCTGAATTTGTTAAAAATATGGTTATTACTGCTTTAAAATATATACAAAATGATCTTACTCGCATATCCTCATATTATTATTTATGTGTCTTGCGCAATCTGCTGATTGATGAACAGTATTTTCGATCGTTCTCACAAGTAGTGCGAGTTTTTTGTGTGCGTGGCAATGTGGATGAAATGTAGGTGTATGTGTGTGTATATGTCTATACATTTAAATGCGTAACCAAATACATATATTGTATATTCGTCTCGCGCTGGTCGACGCGGCGATGTATTACTCGTACCAATAAAGAAATTCAATAAATGTGTTTAATTATGAAAAATACCATTTCGCACTTTAATCAATATTATTCTTAGTATACGATTATTTACGATAACATTAATAGCATGTCGCTAATTATTATTAACAAATTGATATTTTATAAAATATTTATTTTTATGTTTTATGTCTACAAAAATTGTTAACTATTTTCATATCTCCAGCATTTTTAGTCGTTTTTTTTCATGCTTTTTTTTGCGACCTAAAATACATCGAAGTCACCCTACCTCGTGTCACATCGATGTAATCCCTTTCCAAGTAATAATTCATCGCTCTCGTTTCATGACGCGCTTCATTAAGGAAATTAGCCGCTTTCAGGCTAATGGAATGATGATGTTACAGTGGTAATGCCGATAATTGTCAAGCCATCAGCAACAACGAGGTGATTATTGTTTCACCTCTTCGTGTCGTTTTGTTGCATTTTCCATAAACGAAATGAAAAATGACTCTTAATGCGATATTAATATAGATATGTTATTTCTTCGGAAATCATAACCGAAAATTACCAATTATAAACGCAATAAATCAACTGATATCGGCCTGGAAAAGTTATTTCCATTAGCTAGACACATTTATTTAACAAAATGTTTGTAATATACAATTAAAAATATAAAGTAATATTATTTGAACCATGTGCCAACATGTGCGTTTTTACAAACTATTGTCGAGTTGAATGAAGCAATTTTACATTTTTTCTTTGACAGAAACCTGCTCCCGCTTTTTTGGTTATTACGTTCTATCGATTGTGTTCGATTTGGCGTATACTGTTTTCATAAGTTATACGAGGAACTTTGTTTTCCATATAGAATGGGAAGCTCGACGCGCCGCGCCGGATGATTGGGAACTGGAGCGAAACATTTGCTTCTCGCTTCGGAGGTTTCTCCGCAATTTCGGTCGTTTATCTGACGGTTGCCTTCAGTTTACGATTTTTATTCATATACGAAGTATAATATACTAGAACGCGTAAGTGATATTTTAGACGGGTGATACATTCGAATTTTTAAAAAATTTTTTCTTTTTTCATGAAATGTAGAAATTTTGAGTAAAAACTTTATGTTTATAAGTTTTAAAACAAACTTTATACAAACTAAAACTTTAACAAACTAAAATAAAATTTTAGTAACAAATTTATTAAATTTTATATTAAAAATATTGACATTTAAATGTCAAATGATGATAAAATCTCTGCTTTTTTACTCATATTCTAAATTTCTATTGAATAAACTCTATAAACTTAATCAATTAAAAATTATTTATAAATAACTTTTAAAAACTATTCCTTAAAAAGTGATTTTAAAAACATAAATTATTACAACATAAATTTTAAACATCCAAAACTTTTTAGAGATATATTAACTTGATATTTTAATCATACTTTATTACACAGAGTAGCCAACTTTGCATCCCTTTTATTTTGTGATTGTAAGTTAATCGATTTGTATGAAAAGTGCTGAAACAGGTCAATTTTTCAAAGGAATTATATATGATAAATTCAATTGTCGTTTTAATAGGTTTTTGGCTGGTATTTTTCATACAAATCAGTCGGATGCAAAATAAGCGTAGTGGAAAGTTTTTCTCGGTCTACCTTGTGTATTCGTATCATATTTTATTAAACGAGCATTTGTTGAATAGACTATTAATCATCTCGAGTGCGCGTCCGATACTCATCGCTCTTTATATATGACTTTATATATGACTGAAGATCAAAAAATGTCTGAAGATATTTTTTATTTAGCAGATTTACTCTTGGGATCGTGTTTTACTATACCCATACGTGTCAGTTTCCATACATCATATATCAAAGTGAAGTTAGGTAAAACGTGGTATAAAACCATTCTTTCATTTGCCTAGCGAGACGCATATAAATATCACTCCACTTCGTAACTGCATAGAACGCACATCCCTCCATTGAACTGCAAACAGCCCTTTGAATGCCATTATCCTACCTACGTTGTTACTACTTAACGTCGCGTCCGCAAGTGTGGCTGCGTTAGATAACGAGAGCTGGCCGTTGTTCCCGATCGGCTTTGCCGACAACGGTTGCCTGTTGGAGCGCTGTGAGAGAAAGAGAAGTCCGTGTGTCAATTTAAACTTTGACCTACCAGCACCATTCTCTCTCCGCCCGTCATAGACCACCTACGCCTCCCTCTTTAACCTTCGCGCACCGTCGTCAAACGATTTCGTTCGAATAGAGTTTAATGTACTTTTTTTTTACGATTTTTGGGAAAAATCACTTTTATGCAAAATGACGCGTTTGAAAAAAAAAGAAACGTATTTTTTAGAAGCAAAGAGACGACTGCGATTATATTATTTTATATTATTCCTTGTTACAATTCTGCATTTTATATCGAATCAGCGTCCATTACATTATTGTGAGCGGTTCTTCCTACACGTTTGATTTGATTAGCAGTTATATAAAGTGTTTGATTCAGTACAAGAAATATAATTACAATTTAATTATGATTTTTTGTAATAAAACAAAATATTTAATTGTAATTTGTTAATTGTAATTTTTTAAAAAGAAATTCCAAGTTGTTATAAAGGAAACATTTATTTGTAGTATAAAGTTTTTAGAAAAAACCATTGAAGCATCTTTCCGATGCATGAAAATTGAGACGATATAAAATACGACTCGCAGAAAGTAAATCGCAAGATATTTGTGAAAAATATCTTCAGAAATTTTTGAATGTTTGGAATTTATATATAAAGAGCAATACGTATTGAACACGTAGATCGACTCGAGATAATTAAGTATCTCACTGTTATAATAATTGTTATAAATAATAGTCATTTACACGCAGCTATATTTTGCTTTGTCTTGTGAAAATTGCTTGTACGAGAAATGAGGTAACACTGTGACGTGCTTTCTAGCTACGCTAATCCATGTCGGTGGTGAACAGTAGGAAAATACGCCGCCAGGAAGGAGAGCGAATCGATATTGTTGCTCTCCCGCAAGTCTGTATATACAACACGTGTGATGCGCTCGTGATATTGTGAGAAGTTGCGTCCTCCGGGCCTTATAAAGACGCCTACGTATCGAGATAACGCCATAAAGAGAGTGAGAGATATCTTTATCTTCTGCTTTTATTTTGTTTTTTTCTTCGAATATTTACTGTTTTAGAAATAAAATATTTTGCTTTTTTTCTTTTTTTTTAAATTTTTTTTCCGCAGAAAATTTGAGATACATTTGTAGAAATGAGAGAATTGTGACAGTATTTCCAACAATGTATTTGTACGGAGTGTCAACTGATCTGGTGTTTGTCTCTCAGGATCTTGTAACATTATTAATAAAATCACCGACAAGAAATGTTATCGGGAAAAATCCAAATAATTATATCAGCGTTTTTCGCGGGTAGTTTCTTGTTTAGTAACGCTATCTGCTTATTTGAGAGTTGAAACAACTACATAACAACATCCATTCTTCAGTATTGCCGGTGAACGATACTGTTACCGACAAGGTAATATTGAAGACCGACAGTTCTGGGTAAAATTTTGTGACCATTGATGAAACCCTGGCAATCTGAAGTATCTCGATTATTCAACCATAAAAATATACAAATATTTAAATGAGTTTCATTATAAATAATTCATCATTATTTAAATGTTTCAAAAATATACACATGTATACACATGTATAACGTGAAAATATTTTTATAAATCTGTATTTCTGTACAGTTACCATCCGGATATATGTAATCTACTAAATTGTAGTTTTACAAAAATATATGTATAATATTACGCTGTAAATGTGTGTGTACACATCTCCGAAATATTCAAATAATAAATTATAAAATTATAATACTGACTTATAGATCAATTTTAAATATTGTCAGTTTTATTCACGTTGAAACTTTTAGTATTTTGTCGATGACTAAAGCAAGTATGTATGGTAATATATGACAAAAAATTTAAATTGGCTTGAATAGTGTTAAAATGAGAAAGTCTCGAAAATCTTAAAAGTTTTAAAAAATTTATAGTGTTAGGTTATTAATGTTTTGAATAAAATAAATAAGTAAAATTATTTTTTCTAATCTGTTCAATAAAAGAAAGATTTTTTAGATATTATTAGGACATTAATTAATAATGTTAATTTTGTAGGATGTTTTTAAGACATCTTTTTTAGACCATAAAGACGACAGCTATTTTTTTCATTGTTTTTTTTTACATTTTTTGTGAAAAAAGGATATAAGAATATTTTTCATATATTAAACGATGATATGAGTTCCTCATAAATTAAACAATAATATAAGTTTTTTTTTAAAGAGATATAAAATCCATTTTTTTTTGTTTAGTAATATTAAAAGATTTGCATTTCAATTTATGCAAAAATATCACATTATTAATTTCTCGAAATTGAATTTACTAACTAGATTCACCAGTTTCCGAATTAACGGCTCATGTATTAACTAGATAAACGTTTAAATAAATTTAAGGAAAAAAATTTTACAAACATTTTTTGAAGCATATTGTCATTTGCAAACATCATTGCCTTGTTTCGTGTCCGCAAACAATCTATTTGATTCGGTCATGGAGATCAAATTAGAACTTTCCGAGAATTTTGGTGTGCCGTATAGAATTAAGTTGCTGGGAGACGCTGGGAAATTTGCCATCGAGGAAATTAAATGATCGTCGTCTACACTGGCGTTTTAGTACAGGACATTGCCAACAGGTCGGGCCGCAGTATTACGGTGCGACGTAGCGTTCTGAGAAGCTTCAGGGTTTCAGTAGCCGTCTGTGCCGCGGCATGTGAATTTGCATCGGTTTGTTCACATCATTCGTGGACCCGGTGTGACATACGTGAGTGCATCGTGACCCCGGAAACAAAAACCGGAGACAATCCTACATTTGCATCACTCGCGCTCATCACCTGTCGCGGATCTTCGATTTTTCTTCCTTCTTTCTCACGCGAATGGCAAAACTCGAGCTGCTACACGCGGGTGAGTATGTCTGGTCGCTCCCATTATTAGAATCAGAGCGTACTTTGGATCGATACTGATTCTCTCTGTTTCGCGGCGGGATACCGCGCGACGGATGCTGTACGAGATTTTCCGCCTTCTGTTGCGGGAAATCAACAGAAAAATTTTACAACCTGTTCGATTGATAAGCGTCTCGCAGCGTGTTGCATTCACACGGAGAAAATACGCTCTTTGACAAATGTGCGAAAACGATTGAACGATGAGATGAAGAAGCGAATAGTATTTATTGTCTATAATTGTTTTGCATTTCTTGTTTACTTATAGGTTGTTTTTACAATATTATAACATTCATTCACATATTAAAATCGAATAGATTATGATTTTAATTTTTTGGAAGTTATCCTATAATATTGGAGTTTATATTCTTAGTTGAAGTAAATCAAAACCTAGTGTTTATGTTTTTGTAAGATATATAAAGTTCTTTTATAATAATTACATACATATGCGTGTAATTACATATCAACATCTGCATGTTGACTTTAATTAAACCTCGTGTTATCTATTATTAATAGAAAATAGTAGTAAAAAGAATTATTTAACTAGATTACTAACAGATCAAAAAGTATTTAAAAAAAGTATTTACAGATCGGAAAAATAAAAAAAAAGTCGTATTCTCTTTTTATTCGCAGTAATTTATAGATTCGCGTGTGAAATTAGCAATTTAGTTGTCTTGTTATGTTATGTGCAAAGCTGAATTTCGGATTTTGCGATGCGTTTTGCAAAATGTATGTGGAAGAGAAAATATAACGTGGCCATTTAAAAAGTAGGTCTTTCACCGAGTGGTAGAATGTCTCAACGATGCATTGCTTCGAGAATTTCAATGAGGATTCAGCATTTCTCGCTTCCTTCACATTGCATAAGATGCTATATGCCATTTTTCATGTTGCAGTTCCGTTTGACGTTGCAACTCAACGTGCAAAATTGTGCTGTTTAACGCGCAGGCTCATTGGTTATTAGCAATCGTAAAATCGGGCATAATTGGTTGATCTATGTGAAAATGTTTATTGCTGATCGCGTGATAATAGAATTGCCTTTGGGTTTATTGCATTAATTTGCAACTGCGATTCAATTTGCATAACGCGCTGTTAAGCAAAGCTATATAAATAATGTATTTTTTTTTAGCTTTTATTTTTTTATGTAAATAAAATTATAGATATATAAATTATGTGATGCAGAATTTTAAAACTATCGGATGTTCTTTTTGGCTTTAATTTAGCAATTAATATTAATTTATTATAAAATAAATTTCAAAAAATGCTTACAAAAGATTTTGCACAAATTTTTTCTTATTATTTTTTATAAATTGTCTGTGATTATTAAAAGCATTAATGTCTCTATTTATGAAAATGCCTCTTCGAGATTTGAAATTGATGAAAGATTTAAAAGCGAGGTGAATTAAGGCTTACGTTGCTGGAATGTTTTGTGGTTTTGCGTAACGTAATGATTTTACGCATCCCTGGTTGCTGTACTGGCAAATTAACGTTTGTCATGGATTTCTCATGTGTCACTAGACTATCCTACTTTCTAAATGGTAGGAAAGAAGCGAGAAACCGCGAGCTAAATATTCACGTGCGGAGTACGTGCGGAATACGAATGGTAGTCGTGTTAATCCGATTCGCGTAATATAAACGTTAGATGTTTATAAACTCTTCAACGTATTTAAAAAAATTTTTTTTTCCGTGTATCGCATATATACGTAGTGAGAATATATTATAAAAATAAATAAATAGCAAGATCTGTCACTAGTGAGATAAGATACTTCTGGACTCAAAATGCAATACACGCAATTTTCTTAAATATTTCACTGGCAAAGCCTTTAAATGTAACACTGTTAGAAGTTTCTCCACACTTTCTAATTGCATGGAAAATGGAACCATGTTTAGCATAATTAAAAATTACTTTTCTCATGAGGTATTGCTGAAGGAAAGTCTGTATCCAATAATTGAATTTATAAGTAAAATATTTTATAAACACTTGATTAGAGATATTGATAAAAATTGATAAAATATATAAAATGTTCCATAAAATATGGGGAGTATATTTATTAGTATATTTGTGTGAAATCTTACAAGTGTTTGATATTCTCAATATTCCCAACATAGTTCCATAAATTGATTCGATGTTCCTTGCATAAATAGCGACTGCGGTTCATCGAACTATAAATGTAATCTGATGGCGAGGTACACGCATTCATGGTTTCCAATGCTTCGACATCAACGACAATATGCATTTATGTACACGACACGCGGAAGCATCATGAATTGTATATGCATCAGTTGTATATATTTTGCATATCTACAGAATGTTTCCCACATATATATAATCTTTAGTATTTATATAGTAACACTTTCTGTTTACGATATTTTAAACATTTGCAGCCAACATAAAATAAAATAAAATTGAATCAATTCTCGTAGAGTAATATATAGATTTTCTAATATAAATAATGTATATAAAATTATTTATGTCATTGCTGCATACTTCTCTTATATTTCCGTCTTCCAAGCAAATTTTAAAGCAAATTTAATAGCGCTTGTTAATGATAGCAGGGAGTATCAGGAAGTCGCGTCTGCGAAGAAGTTCCTGGCGCGAGAATGTCAGTTTTTTAGTTAACTAGAAAATAAGAGAAAGTGTGATGGTGAGAAATGAAATCTGGTAGGCTAATAAAACCAATTACAAAACACTCCCCCGTCAAAAAAAATAATTGGCAGTTCTGGGAGGAAACTTAATGATCTTAGTAACGTTTCAATAATATCGAATTAATGATAAATCACTTAAAGTGATTCTTCTTGATTGATGACGTCTGCAAATAAAATCACGATTGTAAGAATTCTTCTTTGACTTGATTATCGGACAATTTTGATATTCTGATTAAACTTGGATAGTTCTGCTTTGGTATTCTGTTAGTTGGTGCAAATCTAAGATTATTTGTTTTGTAGGAAGATGGTTTAATCAGTTTTATTTTCCAATATTAAACGTATATATATATTATGTAATTTGGTTTGTTTTATGAAAAGTACTCTTTTTAATGCATTAAAAAATCATGGTGTGTATTAAAATTGCGTACATTTTATTCTTACATAATTACAAAGTCAGAAATAACTAAAAATGCGTTGTCTAATCTTATTTACGAGCGGTGCAATCTTTCGCATTGTTCCATGTGTGCATGCGTGAAAGCCGTAACACCTGCGCGATTGGACATTTAGTGCACAAATATTTTAGACTACGTGTGTGTCTGCGCGAAATCTTGCACGCAAAAGCGATGTTCAGTTTAAAACGCGATTGCTATATAGATTTCTCTTTCAACGCGAAAGCACTCGCTCTACTGGAGGTGAAAGTTAACTTATTGTATAGCGAGCCAAGGTTTCGATCGACTCTTTGCCATGCTGTTTCATTGTTGAAGTTATTGTTTGCTTCTATGTATTTCATTAATTGGTTTCTCAAAAAACATCGCTTGTCTAGCCGTTTCACGTGAAGTCACGATGAGGAATCCAACAAAAATCATATTTTGATTAAAAGTAATGTAGTTAGTAGTTATTTATCGTATTATTCGATATGTATTAGTTGAATCTTTGATTTGATACTTTGATTGAAATGGTTTTCAGAGCGTGAAATTGAAAATACACAATTAAGAAACAACGAGTATTAAATGAATTACGGAAGGTTTATGGTAAATTTAATTGCTTTCCACTGAATCTCGGTATAGAAGAATCTTTTAATTACTACGAAGAAAGTACACGTTGTTTACTATTTAATAATTCTTGAAATAATTCTTGCAGTTTATAGTGCGTTTTGTGAAGTAGTCTATAGAAATTTGGTTGAATAAATAGTACATTTTCCAATTAAAAATTTAGATTACATGCTAAAATAATGATGATTATAAAGTAATTAATGTTGCGACGCGGGATTGAAATACTTTGTAAATATTTTGAACACAATTTAAATGTAAAAAGTGATGCTTTAATTTAATTATGTTACTTTAATGTCGCGTCATTAAACAGCACTTAAATAAAAATTTCCGAAGAGAACGTAATTAAATGTCGATGTAAGTATCATCGAAGAAATTGGATGTTAGTTGACAGAAGTTAGCCGCAAAAATTAGTTCGCAGAAGTCACTGCACTCATTTGTCTTTAATAGCCGGCGTAATTGCTGTTATTTCGCGCGTAATGACTTAATGGCCACTAGAAATTAGTGCTTCGACGGCAACTATCACCGTAACATACACCGTACATATGTACGGTATATAATAAAAACGCGCAATAGCGAACAATTAAGCTTTTGAAAAATTCGAAAAAGATTGGAGAATCATTTGTCTGACGGTTTGAAAAATTTCCGTTACTCAACAAGCAATTATCGTAGTGCGAAGTAAAATCCGATCGTGAGTTGGATCACAATTACGTGAAAGTCGTAAAGACTGTTTTATTGCTTTAGCAGAGATTAGTTTCTGTTCCTTTGTTTATTTATTCCCGCGCGTATCTATCTGCCAAGAAAATGTTACACGCGCGAAGTACTTGTACGCGTACCAAATGTTGCAAGTTCATCTCTTTCACACGCGTTAAATTGCATACGTGGAAAAATTGCAAAAAAGATATCATTTATTTGCAAAGTTAATTAGCGCATAGCGTTCTTTTGCGCTGTAAACTATAATAATTATAAAGAATTACAAAGAATACATATTTTATTGTGACAGAGATTCATTAAAGACGTCTCTTTTTTCTGCATTTATTTCATTCGCGCAAATACAGTGAACTCGCTGTAATATTGTCCGAAGATGGAAAAGATAACGCAGGTTTTCAAGTGAGAAATTATTTTTTTTATCAATACGGCCCTGGGGTCCTGGATTCCGTTATTCGAGCAAGCCGTTCTACTTGCTCTTGTGCCGAGCGAGACTTTGTCAGCCTTTCTAAAGCGCCGCTGAAGAATATCAGGGTTGATAAAATATATTTGCGATACATCTGCA